ATATTAGTCAATTAAAGTGATCCGATAAAGATATATTATGTCTAATGGGTATTAGATTTTATGGAATTTTAGTGTAGACATCGGAGGGGTGGTTTAAATTGATGAGGGGTCAATTTGAAACAACTGAAAGTTAATGACTATTCAGTTATTATTATTATATGGGGTCATGGTCCCCAAATTGATAGTGTTCTTTAGATTTTCTGCATCCCCATCAACGGAGAGTGAAATTCAAGAGAAGATCACCAATCAATTGGAAGATCATAATCCATTCAGGAAAACAATCAGACATCTATCGATATAGGTATTTTTTTTTATTCTTTTCTCTGATTTCAACATGGAGTATGAATAATTGGGTTTATATGTAAAAATGGTTTGATAAAATATGTTTGATAGATTATTTGAATCTATAATCCCTTTTCTGTTTTCTATCAGTTGATTGCAGAGACAGTGATGGTGGATTGTTGTTTGAATTTTCTGGGTTTGTGGTTTGAATTTTCTGAGTCTTGGATTGTCAATAGCGGTGAATATCTGATGTCGTGGTGTTTTGTAGGTGGGCAGTGGACGAGGGAGGCCAGCACCGAGCTGAGTTCACTGAATGGGTGGAGTAGTTGGGCGTCAATCAATATGGCTATGGGTGTGCTGGCGATTTTGGTAGAGGATGACAATGGTGGTGATGTCGGAGTCTAAGTATGATAGTGGTGGTGGTTACGGGCGGCGGGTTGATCTGAGGTTAGAGAAGTAATTGGTTGGCGGTGCCGACGATGAGATTGCCGACCGGAGCAGTGGCAGTGGTGCATGGAGGAGTGGTTTAGGATTTGGAGTATGATTGTTGTTTTTTGAATTGATGACACGGTGTTGAGTTGGTGGAGGACATAACATTTGGAAGGAGTAAACTGTCCACATCATATTCCGACCTCCACGTAGTCATCAATCAATTGAAACGATATCCATCCAATGAGTAATGGATATTGACGGGGTGAAGTTCACTAGCTAATGGGACCCTTTAAAAATTTCGGTGAGTAAGCTATGAAAAAGTGCAAAGTTCGACTATTCTAACATTTAACTCATTCGGAGAGAGATTTAAATACATTTTCAATCGTCTTCTCCAAATAGATTGAATGCTCAACCGAATCATTTCACCTTCACTACTGTCAAACCATCCCTTGCACCTACCCGTCTATTAGCCGAATAAGCCCTCCCTTCATCTGCTTTCGTGGGTGCTTGTATTTTCTGTATGTATCGATTTTTTTGTTAAAAGAAGGAACTATTTCAATTTGCAAGGAAGACGACTAATTTTGCTGGGGAATGATGTGAAACAAAAATTGGAGTAAATATTTGCTTCCGCCGCTAGATTTGTATTCGAAAATTTTCAACTATCTTCTCTAAAGTGAAACACTTATGTGGAGAGAAAAAATTAAATCAATTTTCAATCAAAAACTTGGGACGTAGAATGTGCTCATAAACCGTTTTCTGAAATGCATTTGAGAAATTTGGTTTCACGGAATGTTATGGTAGCTAGATTTGTCCAAAAATAGGATGGAGAAAATCGAGTTGGAGTTATTTGTGGGAATGAAATGTTTGAGAAATTATCGTACTTTCTCAACCGCATTATCAACTGTTACTACATTCAAGACTTGATTTTTGGTTTCCAAATTCATTGTTACCCAAATGCTTCTTTACCGAAATGGATTGTAACCTTGCAATCAGTGAATAATTGTTCTTCACCGACTGCAAGATCACAATCCATTTGGTTGATTTCACTAATTAAGGTATGTTATTGTGACCAAAATGATTGGAAGACTGTGACCAATATTATTATTATTATTGTAAGTCACAATAAAAAAATAAAATATCAGACACAACGTAATACAAATAGTTTGGATCACAATCATAATAAATAGGTAACACATAAATAAATCACATTCACACTCATAACAAATAAGTCACAAAGTAATAGATCATTTTAACATACAAATTATTATTTCTCCAATGTCAGATGACTTTATTCGTATTCTTCAATTGTACTTACTACATAAACTATAGACAATCACATTTTCATGAACTGATGTCACAATCACATATACTTATAGGTTACATTCAAAAATGTCTTACGTCACAATAAAACGACATATAGGTCAAGGTCATATTTACACACGTGCTAAGTCTCAAATTGAGAAAAAAAAATATGGAGCCTAAATCGTCAAGGTGTGAACCTTCCTCGTCATCCTTCCCCTTAAGGGTCTAGCTTCTCTCTCCACTTGTTAATCAAATCCTTATACTGCTTATTGTTCTTCTTAAGCTTCTGTTTCATCGAATTCAAGGCCTTGGTTCGATTCGTATTATCAATTGGGCCGCCCAATATTCGCAGGGCCCAAACGAGAATATGGTTTTTTTCCTTTTTTATGCATTTTTAAAATATATTGATATGCTTTTCAAAATGATTTGGAATTATCGAGTAAAGTTAGTATAATTACTATCTTCTTTGACCTTTTTAAAAAAAGATTCAAGTTCGGTAGAGAGACTGAGAGTGACCTAGAAGCAAAGAACACTCAAGGTTATCGTAAGTACAGAAAATTAGAGGATCCATTTCTCTGCTAATTCTCGAAACTCTGAGCAAAAATTGACATCAACAAAGAATATTAAGAAAAGTAATCAATTTGTGTAGCAAATAATGGTTAATTATTTCAAATTTTGACCTGACATTAAAGTTTTTAATGAACAACAGCAGAGAGCAGTGAAAGCCAAGAAGAAGAGAAAAACTTAGACATCCTTCCATCCCCGACAAAATTTACACATAAATGTATATACTCATTGATAATAGTACAATCATTTATATTTGTATCACCATGGATCCAAATAAACAACAGCAACTGGAGATGGAAATGCTCGGAATTCATTCGAGAAAATGAATTGTGCAAAATTTGACAACCCTACACATTTTTTGGTGTCCTCTAAATGCTCGAGGGATCAAGACCCGGCCCAAAAAGGGGTTCATCCATTTCTGCCCCGTCTGGGAAATTTCCTTACTGCGAAGAAAAATCCCAATTTCTAGAGATCAAGAACTAAATTAAATTTGCCCTCTTCAAGAACCTGATTATTCTGCAGTAATATGGCCATATTGATTCCACATAGTCCAGGTACTTTTCCATTAACCAGCCTCCCAAATCTTTCAATTTTCTCCGGGTTACCTCTTTGTAATCCATGCTTTTGATATCCATCAGAGGTTTCCAAGTACGCGCTAGTAAGTCTTCTTTAAGTTTCCCACAAACGAAATAATTATAAGCCGCCAGGTAGTATTTGGGAAGGTTATTGATTATCTTGACAGTCTGCTTGAAGCTGAATACATAGAGGCCAAATATGCCCCGTAACATCTTAACATAGAGAGCAACAATTAATGGTCCAAGAACCCACAAAGGAGTCAGTTCTTTTGAAACCTCTGCTCCATATGCCAGGCAAATAGCCAGGTACAGAGGGACGCTGCAAATATGAGAGAGAGAACAAATCATCAGCAGTTCTTATTTGGTAGCTGGCATATACGTGTCATCATATCCGAGCATGTTTGGTTATCTACGATACGCATGTTTTAGCAATAAGTAAATAAAATCAAATATTGGAAAAGGAAGCTACAAAAGACAGACATGTCCACCATAATGCGTGATAACATGGTTTAGATTAAGTAATATTTCCAATTATTTTCCTATTGATCTAATTGAAGGGCCAAAGAATATTAAATGACTCAGTTTATAACAAAGTAGCCTTCAAATCCACTGTAATAAACAATAAGAACAAAATATCAACTCTTAAAACAGACATATTTATCTAAAATTCTCAATCTAAACTCTCTATACATTTGCAAACAATTAGGATTAGTCAAAGCCAAGAACCGAACAGATCAAGCGAAGCTCCATGAAAACAAACTCTTCACACTTCTACAAAATATTATGAGCTTCTTTGATTCGGCAAAGCAAGAAAAGCATGCATAAACAAGTAACTAGAGGCATCAAGTGGGCTTGCATGTATACAAGGGGAGGGGGGGGGAGGGGCAGTTGGGGGGGGGGGGGGNTAACCAATTCTTAAATAAAGTTTGTATAGCCAGTGATTTCTCATCTGCTGTTGATGTGCAAGGAACAGGAGCAATATTCTGGACCTTTGATGATTCTGGTGAAGATTCTTCGCTCTCTTGTTGTACATAAGAAACCTTAATAGGATTCTTTGGGGACTTTTTCCCACTAGTTCTACTGCCAGCTTCATCGTGTTGATTGCTCCCTCTGAAAGCCGATACTTTAAATAATTTTGCCTTCGGGCCAAGGACACGAGGAGCTCCTGTGCTGAAAACAATTTATTTGATCACTATAAATGAAGGGTAGCATCTGTAAAAATCTGATATTTAACAACTCCAGAATGAATATAAAAACCATTATATTGCCACACGTTCAACATTTAGAAAATATAGAATTTAAGCAAGTCGTTGGAAATTCACTCCTAGAGATGCTGGTCGTTACAGATAGTATGAGAAAAAAATTGCATCCACATTTATTTGAAAAGGCTATATTAAAAACATTGATCGAAACAGACTGACAGAATTGAAATCTCTTTCACAGAGTTATGTTTTTTGATAAATAAGCCTTATGAGGAGAACAATTAAAAGCAAGTTTCAAAAAATATATTGCTACAGGATTAACCTCTTCAACGAACCATTACAATTACCTAGTCTTAAAAAAATTGTGATTCCACTTAAACAGACCTTTGTAAAATGAATATATACAAGAAAATGCACCTGCAAACGTGCCCATGGATATTCTGGTGCAATATGTATATATTGCATATCTGTCAGTTTTTGGTTTTTCTGCCTGTCTCTACCTTCTGCTTAATAACAAGACGATGTAACAAGAACAGTTGCTAGAAGGATATTTGACAGGCTAAATGAGGCAATCGGAAAATCTTTTCTACCCTATTGTTCACTTTTAATAGCATTTCAACAAGAAACATTTATTTTCTTCTTTTCCAGCATAAATTTATGAAATACTAACTTCACTACCAAAAGCGTAACAGGTTATGATCTTATTTTGATCTTTAATCCAAACCATCGCAGGAACCCATACTACATGGTCAGCTCCATTCAATCCTCGACCATTTCCATTTCAGTCTAGAACTCGAGGAAATTAAGCAGAAATTTCTGAAATACTAACTTCACTACCAAAGAAATATCAGGTTATGATCCCATTTTGATCTTTAATTCAAACCTTCATAGGAACCAATCAGTAGAAAAAACCCATACTACATTGTCAGCATATCCATTCAATCCTTTACCATTTCCATTTAATTTGGTATTCAAGTACGATTAATTTACATTCTTGATACACCTCCTTGCAATCAACTTTAAGGTATAATTATGAAAAAGAAATTGAGCGACGAGAAGTATAAATTGTAAGGAACAACACCCAATTTTATCCATGACCCACTTTTATTAGTATCACTCAACATGGATCCTCCTTAAAAATAATAAAATAAGCTATCCTCATTTTAATAAACCGAATTAGACTCTTTGGAGACGGAATTGTTAGTCGATATATATAAAATGGGTGTGTAATCATATACCTACATATAGGCATACAAAAATATATGTACTAATACAAATTATACACATAAAATAAACTCTCACCTTAAACAAGATTTACATTTTAGAGAAAAATGACTACATTTCCGTGCAACTTCAACGTGTGCCGGTATAAAATGTTTCAGCTTGCTCCCACTGCTCCAAGAGAAAGGCCCTAACTGGAAAGAGCTACAAGAACCCTGAAAAAGAAAGGAGATATATTACATATTCAATTCTGCAAAACATCGGAGCTGTTGATAGTAATAAATAAGTGCGCAAAATAAAACTCATGAAACTGAGAATAGTAAATGATGTAGCTATGCCATATTAGTATCGATCAGGCTTCAGTATCACCATGTCATCGTGAATATCAAGACATTCAAATGTTCTAGACAACAAGATTAGACCCCAAAGCATCACATACAGGAATTTCCACAAATTTGCATGCATTTCTTGCAAAGCTAGAATATTTCCCTTTTCCGTCAATGGACTAATTATATTCATTTTTGTTTGGATTCTATTAAAAGCTCATATTACAATGGATCTGGAAATCAGAAAGTTGCTGGTTTCCCTTATATAGTGATATATTTTAATTTGCATTTATCATTTGAAAATGTTGTAGTATAAA